GTCTATGTTCCGATTTTCAATGGATGTTTACAGCTGTTTCACTTCATTTTGAGTTGTGTCCATCAGCAGATGAAGGTCCCACGGGCTTTACTCCATGTCATCATGGGTCAACTCTACTTTGAGGAGGCAGCTCTTTCCGAGTCACATTTTGAGTACCTTCCAAACTGAGTGGCTCATTTTCTGGCACTATATCTGACAGTGTTTCACTGCTATTCATAAGGTTTTCAGTGACTGTATAAATATTCAGTAGTAGTTCATCTTGCCTTCTTCCTAGTCTATCTTTGTCTGGAAGCTCATCTGTAACCTGTCCACCTTGGGAGACCCTGCTGGTATTTAAAATACCGGTGGCATAGTTTCCAGAATCACAGCAACTCATAAGCCACCACAGTACAACAAACTGACAGATGTATGGTGAAACTTAGACACTGGCTACCTATAATTGGAGGGATTGGCTATACAGGCACAAAGTGGCTGGCTTATAAGTTTTCAAGAGGGAGTTTCATTTCACAGTGTTCAGGGAAAGGTCGAGTCCCCAACTGAATAGTTTCATCTTTTCTAGATGTGTCTGGTGAAAGGAGATGGGCATAAGATTCAGTAGTGAGTAACTGTTATCATGACTAATCGCGACTGTCACAATTGTAAAGGTAGAAGTTTTGTAGCATAAAGAGGGGGAGGGTGTGGTAGTTAATATTACATTCCAGCAATAGAGGACCCTGGGACCATCAAAGGAGAAGAGCATGAGCAGAATGTGGGACCCTAACTAGAGAAGCAGTGACACTGGAGATGAAGGCAGAGATAATGACATCTAGAGATAGAGCAGCTGAGGACTCTAGACTTATGGATAGAGAAAGGCTTTGTGCTGGCACAAGAATTTGAATTACAGTTAAAAGTAGAAACAGCCCAGGAGAATGGATAAATAACTTACGATTGTAATCATACAATAAAATATACTCAGTAGTATAAAGGAACAAACCACCATGCAGCAATCTCAAAATATACTGAGTGGAAGAAGCCCAGACACAAAAGCTCAGGCTGTTTGACTCTGTGGTACTGTAGAATAAGCACTGGACTGCAAGGTCAGTTTCAACTGGAAGGACGGTGGTTCAGCCGTTCCTTGAAAACCCTATACAGGGTCGCTGTGAGTTGGAACCAACTCAGTGGCCATAACAACAGCATATGTAGTTCTAGATTGTTATTAAGTGCTTTCAGGTCAGTTCTGATTCAGAGTGACCCTAGATTGGATTTCCAAGGTTGGTGTATTTGAACTCAAACCTTGTGATTATCAGTTCAGGGCTTATTCCTACAGTGCCTTCTAGATTGTTGTGTTTAGGTACTGTTAAGTCAGTTTAGACTCATAGCAACCATATGCACAATAGCAGGAAACACTGTGAGGATGTAGTCCTGTGCCATTCTCACAATTGTTGCAGTCGAGTCCATTGCTGCTGCCACTATGTCAGTCTGTCTCTTTAAGGGGCTTCCTCTTTTTTTCTGACCCTCCACTTTACTAAGCATGATGTCTTCTCCAGGAACTAATTCTGGAGATAGCATGTCGAAAGTATGAGGTACAAAGTCTCGTCATCCTGCCTTCTAAGGAGCACTTCTGGCTGCACTTCTTCTAAGACAGATTAATTTGTTCTTCTGGCGGTCCATGATATTTTCAACATTCTTCTCCAACACCATAATTCAAATGCATTAATTCTTCTAG